GCTTCTAACCTTTTCAGGTGACCAACAATTAATTTGTTTATAAAAAATTATAAATTTCATAATGCTAAAATGTTAATCTATTAACGTAAATTCCGTAAATTATTAAAAGTGTAAACTTGATGGGAAATGAGGTCACTTCAATAATTTACGAATGTGATGTCTCTAATTAAAAATAATCACTATTTATTCAATAAAATATATACAAAACTATATACAAACGATGAATTTAGTGGTAACTATAAAAAAATTTTTAGTGGTAAAAACTGGTATCTCGACTTCCTCCTTTGCATTGAGTGACTTTAGCTAGGGATAGACCCTTCCATAACGGTTTTCTGATTTAGTTAGTATAACTGATACCTGTTCCTTTTGGTCAAGTTGGACTGTTCATTTGCTGCACGTTTATTTGTTTGATTTTAGATTAAGTTTTCATTGTTATCTGCATAACCAACCAATAAGTTACCAAGTCTCACGTTAAAAAAAAAACAAACACCAAAAAATATTGACTCTATCAATAAAGTTTAGTTAAAGTGTTCTTTGTAGTTATGTAATTTTACCATTACGCTAATGTAATAGAATGTAGAAATGCACAAACAGTAGGTACCTATACCAAAAGTAAATTCAAGTCTTAGTAGGAAATAAATTTCTGAGTGACAATTAAACGGTTGAATTACTTACGGCATGCCTGAAATTCATCCTCTCCCTTCTCGCAATCCGCCTGGTAATTGCACACCCAGAGGGACGGAATGCACTTTCCCTCTGGACATTTGAACATGTTCGGACCGCATACAACCCCCATGGGATCGCCTGAAACAATAAAAACAAATGTTAAAAATTGCACTAGTAGACTAAGGGATTAATGTCAACCGTGACTACTTTTATTGGGCTAACAATTCCGTTGAAATAGTCTGCTAAAGTTAAACCTAATAAAGCAAGATTTTTCAAACTATTTTGTGAATTGAATTTTAGGAAGTTTTTAGGGGGAATATCATTCTAAAATAAATTACAGCAGAACCCTAAAATAGAGCTTAATGTTTCTGGTTACACGTGGAGTAAGAAATGTGCAATTTTAAAATTTATGTAATGATAAGATAGTTGTTAATAATTAAGTAAATAGTTGTACGTGTTCAAGAACAACTTGCGATTTTATTGGGATCCGTCAAATGGGAGGAGCCTAAAAACATGGCGCCGATTAGGGAAAATTTATCGTAGTTCCTATAGTGTACCGTGCAATTTCCAAGTTTTTAAATTACGATAAAATGATAAGTATTGACACAATATGAGATTGGGCTGACACAAAGGCTCGGAAAGGAAATTTCGTTGAAGGTGAGCGTCTTTTTAATGCCAATCACATTATACAATTCGGAAATAACAAATCCGGAAGCTAGCCTTCAAATTCCGTCAAGTTTACTGCCTAACTTTACAAACTTCGGATTTAAAAAGTGATTCACGTTATATAATTGGTGAGGTGATTCTGGGTGATTTAAGCAATATCATATCAATGACTTGCACGTGTAAAGCCGATTTAAGAGAACGTTGCAAACACATTATTGCAACTTTGTTGTATTGCAGCAGGTAGGTTCTTAACCTCAAAATACTTATATCGTATCATTAGCATTGTGTTAAATCAATTACACAGGAATAAATAATTTCTCACTTTATAATTTTAGTATGATTCTAGTTTTAAATATTAAGGTTATGGCTGATGGTAAATACTTGCTGAAATATAATCATGTGCATTAAAATGACGTGAACAAATTTTTATTCCGGAATTCACTTCTTTGATACCTACTGCTTTCATCCAAGCTTCTATTAGTTTACTTTTTTCTCTAATTTTCCGAATATATTTTTTACATATATAAAACGGTTAGTTTTTATTGGAAAGTAGTCAATGTAGGTGAAGAGTGAAGATCTATGTCTGAAGTGCTATTGCAGATTTTCATTGAACATATTAACTTTTTATTTGATTTAACTTTAGAAGAAAACTTCGTCGACTCCATCATCAAAAAAATTTTACTCTTTAACGTGTTTTATTATTTTAATAAACAATTTTACAATTTCCGTGCACAGTTCCTATGTAAATTTTTCCCTCCTTCGAGTTATAAATTTTGCCACCAGACGGTGTATGCCCATTTGACGGATCCCAATAGTATTCCTTTGTTCAGTTACAATTACAAAAGCCTTAATAACTCAATTGGCACTTGGCCACGTATAGAAAAAGTGGCACGTAGCAATGTGCGGAAGGGCTGTTGATATTGACAGCGCAACCCGATTGGGGTAATTGCTTTAACATTTCTTGCAGAAAATTTAATTTTCCCCAGCGCTGTCGTTCCTTGAATTCGAACCTTGGCTTTTATACGTACATACACATGCAGGTACACATTTATACTAATCGTAAAACTCGTTGAAATTAGACAGCGAACGGATTTACGTTAACGGACTGAGCATATCTTAATTATACTGCCTCCTAGAACGTTATAACTAGTGATTGGCTTCATTAATTACTAAGATATCCTTTGATCTAACGGGAAATAGCGTTCTGTATATCTGTCTGTCATTAATAGATTGGCTTGAGATGGTTAGTTGTAGCTGGTCTTAAGTAAATTGCAATCCCTGATTTGAGGGATGATATGGTTTGAAATAAATTTGTTATACATTTTAGTAGACTCTTCTTAAGATTATTCATCTCCATTCCACCTACATGTTTCATATACAAACAAAATAAGGTATCTATTTAACCCATCACGTCGTAAGTCTCTTTACATAATACTTGAGTTCTCCCAGAGGACTTAAGGCTTAGGAACTTAAACTTAGTGCTTGTACTTCTTCTTAGACAAAAAAATGCAAATTTCGTGAGTGTCATGTTTGCATAAACCTGCTTTTAGCCTGAATTATATTATGGGCTGTTTTTTCTAAAAATAGGACGAAAAAGATATTAATTATAAAATACGAATATTATTTTGAGTAGAATAGAAAGTATCATTTTAAGTATGCTTATCTTTTCTTGTTACAACCTTAAACAGTGTATTTTTTGCTTTTCCTTAATAGTCCTTTAGCCTAAAAGTAGTAAAGAAATTATTGAAACAAGAAGGAGAATGGGAAAAACTTTAAAAATGAAGGCAGATCCGAAAAAGGATAAAAGTGGGAAAAGTGCATCCCCCACAGTTTAAAATTCGTTTAGTCATCTGTGATTTTTGAAAAAATCATCAATTTTTGATTAAAAAAAATCACAATTTTTATCAACCTTGTCGCACACCACTGATAAAGTACTACATTGTAACTTTTCGGTTTTAAGCATGTATTTCCCTTGTTTCACGCCATCTAAGCACTAAATCCGTAACACTAAAGCCTTATATTATTAAGTTCCTCATTGCATACCAAAGAGGTAGGGACAAGTCCTTTGGGAACCATTGCCCTTGACGATAGCATCGATTACGTTTTAACATTTTGATACAATTAATTATGGCGACTGTACCTACAACCTGTACGTGGTAATTACCATTCATTTTCAGCTTCTCTTTGTAAACAAACTAAGCTCATTAAAGGGTAGATTTCAGGATAAAGCTGTCCTGAATTTAAACTGTAAACAACTAAATTCAATCCTGTTATTGCTGCTAAAGGAACCTGCGGAGTTATATACAGGGTGAAAAAGCTAGTGTTCGTATACAATTTTCTATTAATTCATCAGTCAAGGTTAAAGCTATAAGGGAAATGGAAAGAAATAAAATAAAATTGAAACTTTCAAAATCCAATAAAAAACAACAACGCTTAACAATTTTTTAAAACTGTTAAAATCACATAAGTACTTCTGGTTGGTATTGGCCAAAAACATCGATATATATCGATAATTAACAATAATAGCAACTGATAATTATTGATGTATCAGTAGTGATAGTATCAATGAATATGTATCGGTAATTACAGTTATAAAATTCCAAAATTAAAAAAGAAAAATTTCTATATACATGATTTAAATGGGAAATAGAAAATTGCAAAATGTCACCTATAAATATTAAGGTCCATATTTTAACAGGATAAATACGAGCATCGATAGTTATCTGTTACTTATAGTTATCTATAATTATCGAATATATCGATAGTTATTGATATGTCGAAGCAGATAACGATAGTTATCAGTTGCTAATATTGTTATCGATATATCGATAGTTATCGAAAATGTTTTAGTTTTCATATGATATATTTCGTGAATCAAATTTTTCAGATTTGTCTAGTACAATTAGCCTAAGAATAAATGCAATATCAAAAATAGACCCACAAAAATTAAATGCTCATTAAATGATAATTAAGTGCTCTAATGAGAAATTAAGTGGCTCGGACATTTTTTTAAAGTATAAGTAATGGAAATAGTTTTTTTTTGGTTACACAGTAAATGTTCTTATTATTTTCTCAGTAAATAAAACTTCGCGACTTGGACAAGACACTGGCTTACAAACTACTGCTCTGCAGAGGAGTAATTTTTGTAAAAATTCCCGTGGCATTTAATTTCTCATTAGAGAACTTCATTAACATTTAATTGCCAATGTGTTTCCTTTTGATTCTTCTGACTTTCTTCTTTCTACTTAATGAACGTCAATTAGATAGGTTAAACATTGCCTAGATTCATTCGTCTTGGGCAATTAATTAATTTTTCTCACCCTGTATGTAACTCCCCAACAACCTCAATGCTTAATCGTATACATGTAATGTCGTTCGCACCAAATCAATACTGTTCTAAGCAATTCCTTTAGGGTAGTATACTAAAATACATCTAGCGTCCGTATTATTCTGTTCGAATTGGCAATGTCAGATACAGACGACAGTCATCGGGGCGCGGTGAGGTTGTTTTAATAGAAATACCAATAACGAGACCATTATTAAATTCAAAATAAACATCATTTCGCATACTTCAATCACCCAGAGAGGTCTCCTACTTATTTCAATTGGTTAGCTCATCACTGGAGATCCTCCTTCGTTCAATCATTCCCAGGAGACTACGTAGGTAAACAATTACGAAATAAATTTATCTATTCAATTCTATGCCGATATACACCGCTGATCATCTAACGTTTCGTAATGTCTGCTGTAATTTATTATAAAAGAACTACTGTTCGTTTCAAGAAGTTAGAGATATGCCCCTTCCCTTTATTAGGATTCGCCGTATCATAATACGAAATTCAATCATATTTGTCTGCGGAGCTCATTTGTCTATCGATCATCGAGCGAGAACTAGACAAAAGTGTACAGTACCATTTGCACAGTTATTTCAGCTGCATCGTTAAAATTTAGGAATATGCTTTATTTAAAAGCATATTTAGCCAAAAATAATAACAAGTGAATTAACTTAACGTTCTACACACCTATAAAACTTTTGCTTTGTTTTCTAGTGTTAATTTATATACATTTTTGTTTTAAGACATTGCTAAACATTTTCGTCGAGTACTGTACAGTTCTAGCCGATCTCCTAAGACCTCCCATCGAGAGCTCTGCTTATTCCAACTATTTCTGTCTTGCTCACGCCTAGTATGTATTCTTTCTATCTTCGCGCAGATTTCTTCAAGGTCACAATTCTAACAAATTGAAATGGACTGTACAGACATGTGCATCTGTATTTGAAATAGTTCTACTTAAAGTGCTGTAATGGAATCAAGAACTAGCGGTAGTTGGAGAACCGATAAAACAAGAGGGATGTAAACAGCGTGCTATGGTGGTAGTAATGAGCAAAATTGGTCTTGCGAAAATGTAAGATTAGAACCAAGTCTTTATGCTAGCAAGACTAAGACCAAAAGAACAAGACCAAGATTAAAACC